GCAGCAGGCGGTCTCGGAGGTATCCTGCCCCTAGGGCCTAAGCCATGTAGGGCTTTAAAGGTGATAACCAACACCTTGAATTGCGTCCAGAGAAAAATTGGTAGCCAGTGCAGCTCGCGGAGGACAGGCGTCACGTGGATGTACCTCGGTGCACCCAATATCGCTCGCGCGGCCGCATTCTGGACTAACTGCAGTCTCCGAACGCTTTTCAAGGGTAGCCCCATGTAGAGCACTGTCCGGCTGACAGTGTCCTAAGGAGGCCCACCCTGTGGGATCTTATCGGCCTTTGGGAGGTGTGCGGCAGTAGGCGGTCTCGCAAATTTTCAAAATCACATAATAAATAATGTATTTACAAAATCTGCACGTTCTTGATATTTGCCTCGAAACTGTGGAAACTGAAAAAATGTGGAGCCGAAACTCCTGCTGACATGCTCAGAGTTTTATTAATCACTAAAAAGCTTGAGGTATTGCCAGGCTTCATTCTTTGAAATCAGCTCTTAAGAGATCTGCAAGTTTCCCTGAACAAAAATGTTTGACTGCTTCGGTCACTTCTGGATCGGACACTTTGATCACAGATTTGACAATGAAGATAAGGGCAGAGTAGAGGTAAGGACTGGATTGCTGACATAGGCAAGCTGGTTTCCCTCATACCTTCTAAGTGAAAACTTATGATCATTTTTCTCCAGTGCTTGTTCTGTCTCTATCTTTCCTTTTCATCTGACTTTTTAGAAAGCTGGCATACGACTGAAATCACAAATGCAGCTTACTTTATTTTTTATTTTTTTTATTATTAGGAAACGAAGCTGCTGTTTCAGATGAATTTCTTTTTTTTTCCTTTCTGGTTATGACAAAATTGTCAAAAGACATTTTAGCTTCCCTTCTGCGCGGCTCACTTTGGCTTGGTGTAGAAACACCACTGCTCCCCAAAGTCAGGGCTCTGACTGTTATTAAAGACAGATCCGATCCTTGCAAAAACTCTGCGCTATTTTTGAGATAAGTAAATGGCAGAGAAATAAACAATGTGACATTTCGCTTCTACACTCTGCCCGAGATGCAAACCACATACTGCTTTGGAAATAGAAAGCATGACAAATCACTGATATGATTTTTGTAAAAAAAAAAACCAAAACCTTTCAAACTGTAGAAACTGTACACTTCTTTGTAAATTATACCGCTACATTTTCATAGGTAAGCTGTTGTCATTTCTTTGGAAATTTGCCAAGCCCTGTCCTCGGCGAGTATTTAAAGCAAAAGAGTATTGTAAACTCTTCTCGTGATAAAAATGGCAACTTCTCGATTCTTAGGAAGTAAGACTATAAATATTGACTCATCCAATGAGTTGAAATATTCTTTATTAAAACTGCAATCTCCAAATCAATTAGGTTGACACATAAAGTAGGCAGCTGCCGATATTAACTTCTCATTAGCTTCCTTTAGAAATTACCTTGCAAGCATCCTAAGAACATATATTTCAAATATGTAAGCCACATTTTAGTCTAGCCTTTAAGGCTAGCATTGATAGCAGAGCAATTTCACTGTTATTTACCAGTAAATGTAATGCAGTGGTGGGTTTCAAAAATTGTTCGAACCTACTCTGTGGGTGTGGCCTCCTTTGTGGGAGTGGCTTGCCACCCATGTGACTGGATGGGAGTGGCTTGCCACCGCCCATGTGAAGATGCCGACGACACTTGTCAGAACCACCTTAAGTTACCTCACACACAGCACTGGCATGCGTAAG